AAAGTATCAACACAGACACATAGCAGATGCGCCCTCGAAACAAGTTGCCATGTTCAAGCGACATCCAATGCAAGGCTCTGTCTTCTTCATCAGGCACCGCACTGAAGCTTATGAGGCATCATAGTGCCAGTCCTGAAAGCCAGTCCACTATTCACTGGGACAGTGGACAGGGGGACAGCTCCAAATCTCAGGTAGAGCTCCAAGGCGTAGCCAGCTCATTGGGGCCATTCTCTGGCGTGAAGACAAACATGCGGTACACTTCTGCTTCATAGTCGAACAGCATCGCATAGATCGCAATGACTTTGTCGCCCGCAATCTTTCGCACAGCGTCCCTGTAGGTATATAGCTTCTTGTCGTTGTAGGTGAACTCAGGGTCCACCATGAAGAGGTTGCACCGGACCCATTCTGCCAAGGCAGCTTGCATCGTGAAAGGCTCATACCTCGTGGCGCCCACTAGCAGACAAGAGTGAAATGCAAACAACCCGACCAAAGATTCTCACTCTACAGCACCTTTCAGCCCAGGCACGGGCGCGGCACCTAGCTACGACGGCGCACAGTGCACAAAGGATTGCTTCACTCACTATCCCCTGAAGCCTATGAAGGCACAATCAAGACACAATCGTAAATTGTAAGTTGCGCATGAGGATTGGCACAGGCAACTGCGCAGGCGATTCTGCGGCGCGCGGTGAAACCTAGCCAGCAGTTGCCAGGATGTGTCTGGCAAATGTTCATAGTACATGTTGCGGGTCGATGGCACCTCAGATCTCTCAGGCGGCGGCCGCCCAAGCCACACCAGGGGAGGTGCTTCCTCACTGGTCTCTGCAGACTGGCCTTCTTGCTCCAACAGCGTAACTTTCTCCCGGACGCGCGCCACACTTCTGGCAAAGTCATGAGGGAGGCCCTCCAGAGTGTCCGCCAACTTTGTCAATGTTGCCAGCCGCTTTTGACTGGCTGCGCCTTCTGCCAAGTCACGGCAAGGACCTGGGACAGTGGACAGCGCACTGTCCATCACTCTTTGCCGTGGCAAAGCCAGCACTGGTGGCAGAAAGCTGGCCCCATGCATTCTGCCCTTTGTCATTGCAAAAACGTCATGGTCATGCCCCTGGACACCGGCTCTGTCTTGTGGAAGATTCTCAACTTCTCTTGGCGACAGGCACCGGCACTTGTAAACAAAAGAATGGGCGCCAAGCCGGCCTTGTCTGCTCACAAAGCAGCCCCGCAGTGAGACCCCAATCTTCCCCAACCACTGGTCGAAGTTTCTGACGTGGTGCACCTCATCTACGAAAAGCTCTTCGCCCTTTTCCAAGGTGAAAGACTTCATCTTCTCCCTGATCAGCTCGGCCAAATCTTCTGGCAGCTCAAAACGGTGGGGACGCAAAACAGTGGACAGGAGCATGGAAAAATAGTGATCGACGTCCTCATGTGTGTGTCCGACTGTCAGGAAATTCATAGTGCAAGTCAAGAACTTGCCCTCCGACGCCAAGTGCGCCAAGAACAGTGACACAACTGAATTCTTGTTCTGCGCAGTGGTATTGTCGGCTTGCGCGACAAGATGCCGAGGTAAAGGTCTCCCTGTCCTCTCCGAAATCTGCATGACCCGGTCAATGCTGCGGCACAGCAGTTCGCATGTTGAGGATGCGCCGTGGTGAAGAGAGTCATCAGACAGGAACACATTGCTGCACCACCCATGACAGAGGACAGCGGACAGCACCACCCTGGGACGTTCCAAATTCTCCAAACAAGCAGGCTTGCGGTGAAATGGATACTGAGGCCAGTTTGTCTTGCACTGATCCATTGAATCTAGAATAATGGTTAACACATCCATGCCGGCCCGCGATGCCCATCTAAGGCTCCA